CACATAAACGTAAAATCGCAAACTTTGAGAAGGCTTATTACTTCTAAAATAATAGTTTCAAAAAAAATGTACACTATCGTTTTAAGCATAACAAACAAGTCGTTAAAAAAAAATTGAAAATTTTATATCCATTAAATATGCAAAACATTTTTACATAAGTTTCAATCTATTATGATTCGTAAAGATTACTGATGAAAATCCAAAAATACGAAAAGGAAAAAATATTGGTACAGTTATAGGTACATACGAATCCGCGCTCTATACTAACTTTAGTCATAATATAACAACAAAAGAAATAACACAGGATACGACGCCAGTAATATAACCTATTACAATAATTAAAATTTAGTAAGCAATCCTAAGATGATTTTATACCTAAAAAAAAGATAATTTAAGTTAAATTTACTTACGTGTCTTGTTGATTGCTGGAGTCAAATTGTCAAATAAATTGAACGGTGTGCAGAAATCGTATACCTCATCACCCCTCTACAATATCGCCATCATATGGATAAATTAAGCTTCGTGTGAGAGAGATCACGAAAATGGATACGATAGACAGACAGAGTCATCGACGTTCATAATATTAAATATAGATTATTAATCTATATCGTCAGTCCTATAATAAGTAATAACCGACGATAAGATAATAATATTTCAATATTAATATTTTATACAAGCAGTTATTTAATAATGTCAATCTCATAAAAAATTGTTAATAAATATAATAGAAATTAATAACTTATAATTATAAAATTATAATTTTAGAAAATTGGTTGATTTTTTCAATCTTATAAAAAAAGTTGTCAATAATAAATTGTTAAAATACCTATAGTTCTAAATTGAATATCTATTAACCGTGGCACACATGTATATCTAGGATTTTGGCGCTTTCGTACGATACAATTTTTTTTCCAAGATAAAGACCGGTGCAGATAGTCGTATGTCGATGACACGTCCGGAGGTCGTGAACCCCTATTGTGAATCCCCGGTGCGGACTTATCCGCTGCTCAGTCGTAAAATTATGATCATTTATTATAGATTTAGATAAACACTACTAGGTAATCTTTTTTCTTTATAGTTTCTATAACAACGTATTTAAATTATTCCATAATAACTGTGTACCTACCCACCCATCTGTTTGTAGAATGTTAACACCTATAAGGCAGTCCCTAAAATTGTGTGTTGTGGGGGTGGGGGGGGGTCTTAAAAATATCTGAACCAAAGATTCTTGTGCTAATGACTACCGTAAAAAGGGGTGACTTCGGACAACACCATGTTTTTTTAATTGTCTTATAATTTTAGAATTAGGAAATAATATTTATTGATGACGTAATGGTGTCATAGCAGGTGTTATGGAAGTAAATACAAATTATTAAATTTTTGTATTTTTAAATTACAGAACTTTATTATTGACTACTGTAGCACAACAACAAATAGAACTATTTGATTGCGGTTTTCGGTAACCTATACTCGTTAACTTGTATCTGTGTTAATTGGTAGGTATATCGTATAAGTGCAAATTTTTAAGTTACTTGATCTCGCACAGTCTTAATTATTACTAAACGTGGGGTGACTTCTGACATCACATTAACTATGCCCAGATCATATTATATGTCAACAATGTAGGAGGTCGTCCGCATATAAGAATTATAATTCTAATGATACCTATTTAAAATGTCGTTGATTGAAAAAGTGTGAATTTTAATGACCTCAATGATTATTCTTCTGCCTTATGATTTTCTTTTCACTCATTATAACAGTATTTTATTTAGGTACTATAGTTAGGTATAATGGGTAAAAGTTTAATGTAGGTAATGAGAATCAGGGGTTTTTTTTTAGTGTGCAGTGAGACACATTTTGTGCAGTGAGAAAAGTAATTGTGCAGTGCAAAATATTCGTAATTTGTAATTACTATTCCAACTAAGTACTAACCTATGTGGTATATAATATTATCTGCAAGTTATAACCGTGAAATAACGTAAATATATAAATAAAGTACCTATAGTTGATGGATACACTGTGATAAAAAAAATAGTCCGCTAGCTAATATAGTGGATAGTAGAGTATTCTGTGATAATAATAAATCATTTGGTCGATGATAACTGATTAATTTATAACTTTATTACATTTATTCACAGTTACTCACCTATCTAATATCTATACTATGAGATTAAAACTTGCTTCATTTTTTTTTCATGGAAAATGTAAAAATGTTCGCTATTTAGTATAGCATAGACATCTATGTATTCATTAAAGGAAAATCCAGGGGCCACGGGCCCCCCTTATGCGCACACCTATGTGTATAATACTATAATATACAATATGTCTGCGACCAATGCCCTTTGTAGTCAAGGCCTTGTATGTAAAATAAAAATATATATTATCTAATACTGTAACATATATAATTTATTTATTACACATAAGGTAAGTTTATATGTTTTAATGATTATAGTAAGGTACATGGTACAGTTATTTTATTAGGATTTAGGTTTCGAGAATAACATAATTAATAGTATTTTAATGATATAATGTATAGTATAGCTTTGTGGCAATAATATGAATATGAATATCATTACAATACTAGACACCTACGTAAGACCAAAGAAAATTAGAATATATACAAATCTAAATTTGCTGTTTTGAAAGTGTATGCGGAGCTGCGGTGCACAGTGGGATATTTTCATAAAAACCCGGTCAAAATATTATATAAAAATTAACCAAAATTTGAATTTTTTTTTTCTGTGATGACTGCCATTTACATTTGCTTATAACAATAATTTATTTAATAAACGGACATTTTGTTAATTTAATTAAACGTTTCTTTAGATAGTACGAAATTATTGTCTAAATCTATCTTGAAGGTCCCTACCTACCAAAAATAATGTTGAAATTTGTATTTTTATATTATTTTGTTTTAATATTCAATAATTCATATGCAGTTATAGTTAGTTAGTTTTTATTTCCCCATAATATGCTACCAGTGGAATATATAGGGGGTGGACATAGTGGGTTGCAGCCCCCCCCTGAAATTAGAGTCTTTAAATAGAACAACAAAATATTTTATTAGGTACTATTATAGTATTATATAAGTTGGGTATATAATAGTTCAAAGCCTGTTGAAAAATAACAAATACGAATATATATTTATAGAAACTGTTCAATAGTATAGTATAGTAGACAGTAGCCTCTAATAAGTACTAGATCACTTGCTATAGTTTCTGTGATCTGTCTACTATAGCACGTACCCCAAAAATGATTTCTATATACGCCATTGTATACTACTTATAAATTATTAAATTATATCGACGAGTGACGACTGTCTACAAACACGACAGTATAGGCAATATTATACGTGCTGTGCCTGTAATACTGCTGCAGGCGGATATAGCAAAAGTACAAAACAAAATCGGAGACAGCACACGTATAAAAATAATCAACGATCGACATTCGGCGGCGACCGATATAGCACCTAATCCGAAGTGCAAATGGTGTTTTCCGCAAACTGCGGTCTGCGAGCAATAATTTTAATTTAAAATTACAAAAATACAATGGGGCTGACGACGAATAGTCTCTTCTGCATCAGGACATCGTAACGCCGTGTCCTACGCGAATCTGGTGGCCGGTGGGTGCGGTGAAAAACAAAACCGCTCGTATCAGACGCACTGCGGTGGAACAGCATGGTCAGAATAGAATTCGCACGCACTCGCCGCATTCACGTAGGACATGGCGTAACAGTAATGACTAGGCTTAGGGACTTCTAGCATTTGCATACTTTTATTAATTATTGTTAATTATAGCAGAGTGCGAAATAAATTCATTCTCGGTGCCATGATATTAAAATTTGAATGTGCATATATGTTAGATTTTGAAAGAAAGTGCTTGTTTTAAAATTGTTGTGCTTATTTTGCATATTTTGATATTAATGTCATCTGAAGTTGAGATGTGAAAAGATTGCCCGAGGTTTAACAAGTATAATGATTTATTTTATGTATGCTCCAATATCGTCTGTCGATGTCTGTAAAAATGTACTGTCGAGTAGTCGTCGTAGAAAACATCAGGAAATATCGCATTGTGCAGTCTAATGTGCAAGGTAAAGAATTAAAACATTTAAATATTGAAACATTGTATTGTTTTTACTTGAGGATCGGAAGACCCGGAAGAAGGCTAAAATTTAAACCAATTACCTTTAAAAAATTCAATCTATTAAATAATTTTCAATTCAAGTTTCAATAATAAAATAAATATTTAATTTTACCACATATTTGTTATACTTAATTTTTATTTTTGGGCATATCTTTGTGCATATCCAGCCATTTTCAGGTGTATATTTGGCCATTTTTTTTTTTGTGAATTTTATTGCAGTGTATTTTTTAGAGCTACAAGTCCCTAAGCATAGAATGACTTATGAAGATAATATTATTAATGATCAAAAATAATATCAGGACGTCGGACCCGCATGTGTGTTGTTATTCCGTCTTGTACCTACATAGTACATGCACGACATGGCAAATTTTCGTCCGGTAGTTTCAGGGTAAAGTAAGTTTTGATATTGAAGTAAATTTAGGTACATACTATCAAACTTTTAAGTAAAAACATTATCTGTGTTGGTTTTTTACGGTATTTTACTTTTTAAGTGAGTACATTAAACATTAATATTTTAAAATGCTCATAACTAGCAAGTTGACTGCCTTGAGTATCATAAATGATACACAACTAAGAGTCTTTTCACACACACACGGTTTCCGTGTAAACGGTTTTTCGACGGTTCACTAATGTATGGCTATTTATAGAAGGTTTCACACGTTATCTCGACCGTGCCGTGTCCGTGTTGCGTCCGTGCGAGTCCACACGGTTCAAAGTTCCGTCACGGCTCAGTAATGCATTGCATATTACGATACCATTCACACATACACGGCACGGACGTACACACGGCACAGTCAATTCATTTTTTTTCTGTCATTCTGCATGTTGTACGAGTACATACAATACTAACAATTATTATGGATGTCGATTTATTAATCTCACTTGTAGAAGTTCGTCCAGTATTGTGGGATAAAACATCTAATATATATAAAGACAGGATTGAAACAAAAAATGCCTGGAAAGAAGTGTGTATGGAATTGAATAGTGATTTCAGTAATTACGACGATGAGCAAAAAAATAATTTTGGTAAGTTTACTTATTTAATTTACTTTATATAATCAAAAATATCATTTTTAAGTAGTATAAAGTAAATATGGTATCTCCAGGTACAATATTAAATGAGTTATACAAGGTTTTACTCTCGAAAATGTACAAGTTATTTAGGAGTTAAGTACAAAGTATTTGATATTTATATGTTAGTTATTTTATTAATATCTGAAAAAATAAATATTTTGCATAATAGTTATGTACTATATATAAACAGTATTAATTATATTTAAGTATAATGTCTATATTTTTAACATTTGCCATTTCAAAGCCCCTGCATTTGATGTAAAATAATCACATAACACATTGCGGACATTATTAGCTGCTAATCCTCCTCGTGTCTCCTGTTCTCTTTGTAATTCATCAAGACCTATTATTACTTCTGTGTCCTCAACTTGATATCCGTCCCTGTCTCGAACAAAATTATGAAGAATGACACACGCTTTGACAATTATAACTGCAAAGTCGGGTTCCAAGTTAATTGGTCTGTGAAATATCCTCCACTTGTTGCTCAAAATTCCGAAAGTACACTCTACATATCTCCGAGCCCTACTTAGGCGATAATTAAAAATCCTTTTTTTCTCTGTAAGTTGCGATCCACCAAAAGGGCGAAGTAAATGTTTGTGGAGCGCAAATGCCTCATCTCCAACGAAGAAATAAGGTAACTTGTGATTTTCTATTCCGGTTACATTTGTTTCAATAGGTATTTCTAGCTTATTATTTATAACTGATGTCCATAATGATGACCTTTTGAATACAGACGAGTCACAATCTTTTCCATAACTCCCGATGTCGACATATACAAAGCGATAATTAGCATCAGCTACGGCCATTAAAACTACAGATGAATAGCCTTTGTAATTATAATACATGGAACCTAGGGGATTAATAATTCTGATGTGTTTTCCATCGACCGCTCCTAGGCAATGTGGAAAATTGGCTCGTGTCTCAAATTCTTTAGTTATCGATTCCCATTTTTCTTTATTAAGGAGAGGTATACACTCCGTTAACATTACTTCCCAGATACTTATACATACATTTTTAACTATGTTGCTGATGGTTGAAATGCCAAGTCTGTAATTAAGATGTAAATCTGTAAAAGTACACCCACTTGCTAAATACCTGAAACCAAAATAAATTATTTATAATTTGTTTAGGCAAGGAAGTTGTAAAGCGATGGGTGAATATTCGAGATGCGTTTAATAAATCTACGAAAAAAGAAAAATCACTAAATAAATCTGGTGCTGGTGCTTCAGTAATAAAAAAATATGTCTACGCAGAACAGCTGAAATTTTTATCAAAAGTATTTTGTCCACGGTCAACTGAAGATAGTTTATCTATCAACTCGGGTAATGAAGATACTGAACCAACTGTTTCAGAAAATGACAACAGAAACGAAAGTGGGCAATTTAAAATACCACCTAGAAAGCAACTTGGATCTCGTAAAAGAAAGATGGATGAGGTTGACATGAGAATGTTAAAAGCGTTGGAAGAACCAGAAGATCGTCATATTTCATTTTTTAAAGGCATTGTCCCAACTTTGCATACATTCACAGAGGATGAAACGGTAAATTTCCAGATGGGTGTACTACAATTATTGACCAATATTAAGCAGAGACGATTTCAAACACAAAACCCATACATGGATTTCAATACTAATATTAATTATAATCGCTGTATTCCTACTCAAAAAAATATGCAAAATTATGATCTGCAACTACCCATAAATCAATCAGGATCATCTTCTATTCGCTTCCAAACTACAGAGAATCGCCCCACACATACAGACGTTCATCACCAATATAACCATATTGACGACAATCCGTCTTCAGTTGATAGCAATACAGACGAGTCATTCTTAGATTTAGATTTTTCATAATAATTCAGATAATATATTAAAAACTGTAATTATAATACTATTTGTATAATGCATTAATATTTTTTTCTTAAACACTAATAAATCATTTTTAACATTCACAAATAAATTGTAAAAGTTTGCTACATTTTAATAGGTAAGTAAAATATTCAAAAAAAAAAAATAATATATTTCTTATTATATTATATCATTATATTATTATTTATCTATTATGTATTATTATTTTAATTATGTATTCACTTACCTTAGAGTTACAGCTAACATTTGCATAGGTTCGATGCAGTCTCTCATAAACGTATTCTGACGTTGCAATGTATTTTTCAGTCGGTCGTGTAATTCGTCAAAAGATTTCATTGACATTCGAAAATACATAAAAAACTTATCTTCGTGTTCTCGGAGGTCCTTAAACAAGGTATAAAAGTCACCTATTTCTTTCCTATTAGAAATATATGGATGAATCCAATAGATTCTTTCTCGTATATTTCTGACACGACGACGACGGCGTCTATTAAAAAGTATTAGAGCTATTTTTTTTTTATCCATTTGGACAATCGTTTATAACTACAACAAATAAAAAATAGAATAGAATAAACAAATAATAGACCTCGACAGCAAATTACAACTGACAACGGGCAGGTTGTATCAACTACTAAGGTTCTACCACGGCTATTCTGTGCGGAAACCGCAAGAAAACCGTGTCTGTGTGAAATGTCTACATCCGTGTAAACGGTTGCCGTGTACACGGAAACCGTGTGTGTGTGAAAAGACCCTACTATCCAATTTCGTCCTATACTTTTTAACGGAAATACCAACCTTGCCTTGAGTATCGTATATGCTTCTCACTTGTCAGACGAATCTCGTCCTATAGAAATATTGTAGTCCAACCAAGTTGGTCACACTACTTTTTTGAATAATATCGATATTTTTCTTCACACGCTTATTTATTTCATGATAACAATTCGATTTTTGATAAAAATTAATCGATTTAAACTGAGTATCATATATGATACTCAGGCCCCAGTGGAATTTATATACATTTTTTGTGTTATTGTTTTTATAGTTTTGGTTATTTTAAGTCATTATAAAAATAATAAATTAATAAAAAAAAAAATTTTATTGTATTCCGTGATGCTCTGATGCACACAAAATAAATAAAAAATAATGAATTACTTAATTATTATATTATTTTGACAATTCGTTTAAACATGAATTGTTATATTTTGTATGCCTAAATATTTAATTTTTTTTACTAATATTATGAACAATTATAATGAAAAATATATTAAAATATATATTTTTATATATTAAAATATAAAGATTATTAAATTTCATAAATTTTTTCATTTTTCTAATTTTAAGTATCATTTAATATAGTTAGGAGAGAGGCCAAAACACCATAAAATTACAAATATTGTGTAGTATTTTATCCAATGGTTGTATTAACATTAACTCAGTGTTATGGAGTAGTTATTTAACTAAATAAATGAGTGCATATATGATACTCAAGGCAACCGTGGCAAGTTGTGTTGAGAAGCAAATGTGATACACGAGGCACGATTGGTAAGTTTGTGGTAATTTACATGGACGAAAAGGGAAAAAAGACTGTGTATCATATTTGATACTCAAGGCGATTTGGGCAAGTTATGTGAAATTGTCAGGGCAGTCAACTTGCTAGGGAAAGGATTTTAATTTAAATAAATATTTTTATGTAATAATAGCATCGGAAAGTTTTCGATATATGTATACGTTTCATTTAATTTCAAGTAATCTGATGCTAATTTTATTTTAAATATTTTTAAATATTTTAGAATAATTAAATTTTTTTACAAATAAATACATAAATTATGTAATATTGTAGAATTTCCGTGTATATTTTAATTATTTTACAAATAAATATACGTATTCTGTATTATTGAAGAATTTCCATTTTTATTTTAGTATTTTGCGATACGATTAGGTCTCTGTACTGTACACTTTTGACATCAAAAAAAATATTTTTAAAAGCGCCAAGTCGTATACAAACATTTAAAGATATGTACCCGGATTTAACTCTACCTCCCGAGCCTATTATAACTCGATGGGGTACGTGGTTATCAGCTGTATTATATTATTCAAATAACTTTGAAAAGATTAGAAACGTTGTCTTAAATTTAGATCCCGAAGCTGCAATAGCAATAAAAAAAACTGTTGAGCTCATAGACAGTAAAAATTTGCAAAACAATTTAGCATTTATTTCGACTAATTTTGGATTTTTGGTTGATACTATTTCAAAATTAGAAACTTCTAAAATGCCACTAACGGAGAGCTTAGAAATATTTGATAATGCCATAAAGCAATTAGAACGGGTTCCTGGAGAAATTGGAGTTTTGACCAATTCAAAATTAAAAAATGTATTGGAAAAAAACACAGGTTTTAATACTGTAATGTCAATAAGAGACATACTATTAAACAAAACTCCAAATAACAAATATTCAGAAATTGAATACACTCCAAAAGAAATAATGTGTATGAAATATGCACCTGTCACGTCCGTTGATGTGGAGAGGTCATTCAGCCGTTACAAAGCAATGTTAAGACCGAACCGCCGCCACTTTACATTTGAAAATTTCAAGCTACCTATATGTTGTTTCTAACTGTTTCCCACATGAAGAATATGATGAATCAGAATAGATTTTTAATTTTTTTATATTTTTAATTAATTATTTAATAATTCTATGTTATTTTCAATTTAAATATTTAAATATTATACATTTATAAATAAATATTTATTAAGGAATAAACAAAATATATATTTAAATATTTTTAATTTTATACTAAATTAAAATCCGTTCCCTAGTGACGACTAACCTAACCTTTTTATAATTGACAGTATTCATGCTAGAGATATTTGTCTTAAATTGTAACTTTACTCTGAGTGCTTAAAAAATATTAACCACTAACCTTTAATCAATAAATTTATAATAATAATTAATTTGACGTGTTACTTCATTTGATTCGACCTTGTCAACCGAACTCCACATCTGGATCGCAACAGTATAGTCGTGGTTGAGACACTCAAATTTTAAAGTGTTGCCAACGCAGTTCAAAAATTTTCGTTGAACTCTTTCGAGCATGACTGAATTCCAAGCCGTTTGATAGGGTCCCAGATGACAGAACCATATTCTAAGATTGGCATTGGCCTAACAAGCGAGCAATTAAGTGCTTTTAAAGGGGATACTAATTTGAATTTGGCAGCTACCCGCTTGACAAAACCGAGGGTTTTGAGAGCTTTGCAGCAGACCTGTTCTATATGCAAGCTAGGATTCAGCTTGGGATCAAAGACAAAACCTAAATCGTTAACAGATCCAAAGAAGAACGTAGACGCCTTTGTTCATCATACGGAAATTTCACTGTAGGTAGTTATAATAGAAACATGTAATTACAGTGGAAATTTATTAAGGACTATCATACGTATTTTACTAACTACCCATAGGTGTCTCTTTCCATGTGGACAAATGTATGTGTCCAATAGCCTATCTTGAATCATGACCCAGGATAGTGGCGCGTGTTCGTGATTTTTTACGATTATTTATGATTTAATTACCATTTAAGATAATCACAAGATTCAGCATGCTAGCATTAAAATTCCGGGTTCCAAGCACCCTTAGCACACCTGTTATTTGCACTAAATGCCAATGATAATAGGTCAAGACGTCAAGTCACTCTTATACTAAACATAGGTACTCAAGTTAAATATATTTAATTGTAGATTATTCAGAACATTCAATTTGCTAAATTATGCGTTTGTAAGACAGAGACAACACATGCAGAGTAGCGTCTTCTTAAGTTTTTTTCTTAAATCGTCATTTAATTCATTGGTGTATGAAAAAAATTTTTTGCTTGGAAAGCAATGTTTTAGGAAATTCAGTAAAAAATACAATTTATATTTAAATCCGCGCCCTACTCATAAATATTAATTTCTGATGATGCATTGATGCCGAGGGGGGTGGACAATCAGCCAAACCAAAATCTAAAATCTTAAACACCTAAAATAAACAATTTAACACAAATTTAACAACAATAAACACTTACATGCGTTGTCTTATGAAAATTACAAAATACTTATAATTTATATTTATACAGATTGTATTATAAATATAAAATAACAAATTATTTTGAACAGTGACCCACAGGGAAAGTGAACTAACTTAGTGCGCTCTCTATAGTATTAATATAAAATAATATCATTAAATTAATATTGCATAATGGTCAGAAATATTCCACTGCTGTTATAGAGCGCTGCAGAATTGTTCTTATTATGTGACAACTATTCCATGCTCGTTGGGCAACCATTATATCTTTAATCGTGCCCGACAGTAAAATTTATAGAAAATACACTAAAAAAAAAAAAAATCAAAACATCTATAAATCTATTAATACGAGTCGAAATATTTTGAATATTTTATCATGTATATAAAATGATGAAATAACCATTTGCTACAAATTGCAAGTACATTTTTAACATGTACACACTACAAAGTTCCACACAGAAACTAAAAGATATAATTTAAATAGTAGATTATAGATATAATTTTACTGATATAATGCAATATAATTAACTTTATAGCTTATTTTTTTTATTTGAAAATAGTCAGTATAAATTATAAAAAACATTTTTATCAAATAGATATTCAAAAAAACAAAAATATTTAAAACAATACACATCATAATTTATACAAAAATATGTTCATATTACTATTGAAAATGAGTACTTCTGTAAGATGATTAATGATAAGGATGTGGTCTATCGACAACTACTCCACCATAAATTCGTACTCCATTTCTTGACAATCTCTCCATGGTCCAAGTATTGGTGCTGGGGTTGTAAATTTCTACAGTATCAACATTAGATGTTTCATTTTCTCCACCCATAACATACAATAAACCATCTACTGCCACTACTCCTATATAAAATGTTATTTAAATTCAATACATTTTTATAAAGGTTGTCGTAAAAAAATAACTGTTATAGTTACCAGGACAATAACGGGATAAATGCATGTCAGCTATAGAATACCAAACTCCATCACTTGGTCTATAAACCTCAACACTTTTAAGATCCTTTCCTCCACCATAGCCACCAATAGCATACATAAGACCGTCCAACACTCCTATACTAACACCATCACGGCATTCAGACATTTTTGCAACTGATGTCCATGTGTCAAGTGCGGGATCATAATATTCCACAGATGACAAACATATACCATTACCATCACCATCACCTGTAACACCTCCGACCTACACAATTTAATTAAATTAAATGTAATACAAATTAAAAATAAATAAATAAATTATAATATAATTATTCACCGCGTATAGACAATTATTGAGTACACCAACGCCAAATTTACGTCTATCAATTGTCATACTAGACACCATTCTCCATTTTTGGGTACTGACATCAAATACCTCTACACTATTTAAACCACTGTTGCCGTCCCATCCACCAACCTAGAATTACAAATAATATACCTACATTTTTAATAATATAAAATAAGTAAAATATTGGTTTAACTTACAGCATATATGGAATCACCTAATACTCCAACTCCCAATAGCCTTCTACTAACTAACATGTCGGCCATTGGAACCCATGATGGTGATTGTGAAGATACGTCAAGCATACTAACAGATTTAGAACTCGATCGATTTACACCTCCCACAGCAAACACAAATTGATCATTTATCACACCAAAACCAGCACACTTCCGACATTCATTTATTCCTGGTGCATTCTTTCTTAGCTTGGTTGCTGGGTCATACCATTCAGTATAACACTTTGGCGATGTATCAGACAGATTGAACATTAGAATAACCTAATAGAATTAAATCGACAAAAAATTATTGTGAAGATAAATTAATCAATTTGGAATCATACTTTTTGAAAACCATCAAACTGTCTAGGTTTAAACCTAATTGTTTTTGGAATGGTGAAATGCTGAAATGATTTTTGATGATTAAAATGTAATGCTTCGATTATAACTAAAAAAATTATAATAATAATTCATAAAATGTATAAATCCATAATGTTGGCATATTTATGAAAATAACAAACATTTATAACTATTTTTTAGAAGAGGTTCTTCAGATATATTAAATAATATATCAGGCTTTAATAATGGCAAACGTACATGTTCCATTAATTTTGGCAAAAAATCTATTCTATGATCTGAATCATGTTTTACCCATTTTATAACACATTCAAATACCTATAATAACAAATATTTAAAACTAGATTAAAATATAATAATAGTTTGTACAACCATTCAATAGTGTATAATTTTCACACGATCCCAAAAATATAATAGATCTTTAAGACCATGGGTTCCTACTTTTTATAGCAGACAAAGGAATATTTATTAATTATAGGTGATAGTTATTGCCAATTAATTTTAATCGGAGCCGACCGCAAAACTTCATTATCATTAAGAAGATACAATTGATTTGAACTAATTTTAAAAATATTTTGACTATTTTAGAGCTATTTAATATTTATAGACATTTAAAATAAGAAATTGTTTTGTTTATATTCAATAACAGTCAATAAAATTATTTTCTATGGTCATCAAGCTTCATTAATTTTAGTTATTTAATTTAAAAATATTATTTGTAGAAACTTAAAATTTTAAAGTATATTGTTATATTGTATGCACCCAATGATCTTTTCAAATGCAACTTTTACGGAAAAATAATTAAAACTGCTCCAGAAATACAGTATTAATAATATATAATAGTAAAATATATTAGTTTATTAACAATATCATAAAATATACTTCTAGTAATATTATTAAACATTTTTTACATTTTTACAATGATTTTATATCATTGAATTCAAATATAACAAATCTGATACAGTGATTCCTGTGGAGTCTAGACATCAACTGTCATGTACAATTTGTAAACCTTCATAAGTCGATTTTCCATACAAAATATTAAAAATACAATTTTTAGTTTGCTTACTTTTTCTTCAAATGGAACAGCAAGGTCATTAGAGGAAATAAGCTTCACCAAATCTTCAGAAGATAAGGATAGAAAATCTTCGCCTTTAGCTACTTCTCTGGAAATAATAATCATTATTTTTATAATAAATTACCTACTTGCTCTTGATACAGAGAATTAAAAAATGTTAATCATACAAAAAATTTTGTTTAATATATGCTTCAGAAATTGACAACAAATCAGTACAATTATGTAAGTCAGCAAACACTCTGATACCAAGACAATTTGATGGATTCAGTTGTTTTTTTAAAAACTCAGCACATACACCATTTACATAATCTAACTGCAATACAACTGCAGCTGGGAATAACACCTTAGAAATAAAAAAAAATTCACATAAAATGATATTATGTTGTTTGAAGTCTATATAAAATTAAATATTTAATTATAGGTAGGTACCTACCTGTACATTTTCTTTTGTGACCATAATTTCTCCAGTATAAATATAATCTACTAATAGCTGTAAAATTGTGGAATCTAATTCTCTTATATTGATATTATCTTTATTGCTTTCGTCAAAATTACTAAACATTGCACGGAAATATGGACTAGCTGCTATTAGTACATTTTTATGTCCAATTACAATTTTACCATCATCTGCTTCAAATCTAACATCGCATAAAAACTCAATTCTAAAAACAAAAATGTAAGTGATATTTATTTTGAATGAAGGTAAAATCACTGTAAACATACTTGCGTAGAGATTGTAAATTTTCCAGTATTCTTACAGAGTGAGAGTCATTTCTAAAACTTGTTGGTTCACATTCATTTGATTTCAGAATTTGCTTTAGATTACTTTCACAAGATGAAGCCTGAATGGTATCCATTTCTTTTATTGACGTGCCTAACAACTTTAAATATATTTTAAAAATTGTGATTAATTTTAATTATCATCATTGTGTTAAAACTTAATACTAAATTTAGGTGCTTTAGAGTTTAGACAGGGTGAAAAACAACATAATGCTGATGTTAAGAAATTATTAAATTATTAGTCAGATTAAATTAAAATAAGTTTTCAGAATAGGTACGAGACCTATTTTCTTACTTACTGCAGTTGAATTCAAATCAATTTGTGAGTTCTAGACAAATATATGATATTTAACTATGGGCTAATATACAAAATAAATAATCGATATTGGTAGGGACAACTGGGATAAATGAAGTCAGAAGTTGTGATTTGTGAAGTAAGAATGTAAGATGGGAATTGTATGTTAGTCCTAATAAGTTCATTATATCTAAATTTATCCAACGCACATGTACTGTATGTTGTGCATATTGTATAATTTATATTGTTATTTTTATTATGAACTCTAATAATAATTTATTATAATAACACCAAAGTTGAGTATACTCA